AAGGATTTAGGTCCAGCAAAGCTAATTCTCGGTATGAATATTATCCGAAATAAGAGAGCTAAAAACCTGTGGTTGTCATAAAAAAAGTATGTTAAATGGGTGCTTAGTAGATTCAACATGCAACATGCTAAATCAGTTAGCAGTCCACTTGCCAACCATTTTCATCTAAGTAAAAAATCTTGTCCGGTGACTAAAGAAGAGCAACTAGCTATGTCTAGTATTCCTTATTCTTTTGTAGTCAGTTCTTTAATGTATCTTATGATTTGCACATGACCTAACATTACTCATGCAATTGGTGTAGTGAGCAAATTTTTTTCTAATCCGGGAAAGGTTCACTGAGAAGTAGTGAAATGAATTTTTAGATACTTGAGGGGCACTTTAAAAATGTGCTTGAGTTACGAAATTTCACAATCAGTTCTAAAAGGGTTTACTGATGCTAACATGACAAGTGATCTTGATGGTAAAAAATCTACTTTAGGGTATTTGTTCACTTTTGCAGGAGGAGCTATGTCGTGGTAGTCTAAGTTGTAAAAGTGTGTTGCTTTGTCAACTACAGAGGCTGAGTATATTGCAGCAACTGAAGTAAGTAAAGAAATGCTTTGGATGAAACATTTTCTTCTTGAATTGAAGTTGAATCAGAAAGAGTGTGTGGTGTTTTGTGATAGCCAGAGTGCTTTAGATTTGAGTAAAAATACCATGTACTATTCTAAAATGAAGCACATTGATGTTAGATATCACTGGTTACGTTCAGTAATTGAGAAACAGCAGATGCTATTGAAAAAAATTTATACTGATGAGAATGTAACAAATATGTTGACTAAGACACTTTCTAGGGAAAAGCTTGAGCTATGCAGTAACTTGGCCAGAATGAGTTCCTTGGCCAAGGTAAATTCTAAATAAAACTGTTATGGTGATGAATCTCCTTCTAATGGGGCTGGAAGGAGAGATTGTTAGGAAAGTGGGGTCCAACCCCATGAGTTTTTTTACTATTCAAAGGCCATGGGCCTTGTGTTTTTAGGCTTCCTTAAAAGAGTCCTAGTTACTTAATAAAAAGAGGTGGGGCTGTTTTAAGGGGAAAAAAGAAGGTGGCACCACAAACCAAGAAAAGAAAGGAGAAAAAAGAAGTAAAAAAATAGAGAGAAAAGAGAGAAGGGAGAGTTGGTTGAATGAAAGTTAATCCATGGTTCGATTGAGCTAAAATTTTATCCGTAGCTTTATGATTCAGAGTTCTACATTCTGAACGGTGAAGATCGAGTTTGAAGCTCTCTAAGAACAAATCTATGGTGTATTTATTGAGTCACCTATTTGGTGAGATTTCTCCAATTATCTCTTTAGTTATTGATTAACTCTAGTTTTAGCTAAAGAAAAATTTTGTATATCCATTATTTGATAGTAGAGATTTTTTTCTGGTGGTCCGTGATTTTTTCCTCTACACTGGAGGGTTTTTCATGTAAATCTTGGTGTGCTTTTATTTTTTTGCATTGTTTATTATTGATTATTGTCTATTACTATAAGTTTATTGCAATATATTGCTTTTGCGTTGTTATGTTTATTGCTTCAAGCCCAACACCTTTTTCTACCAAAAACATTGGCATGTTGTTGGTAGTGACATAATTTTATTTTGTTTGGAAGTCTTAAATGGTCACTAGCATTTGCATGATATTAACAAAACATACATTGTCCTTATCCCAAAGGTCAACAACCCCAAAAAGATAACTTAGTGTCGCCCCATAAGTCTATGTAATGTGGTCTACAAACTGATTTAGGGTTTTGGTGAATAGAATGGAACTTGTTCTACCTACGTGTATTAGTGAGTATCAAAGCGCATTTGTTTCTGATAGGCTAATTACAGATAATGTGCTTGTTGCATATGAACTTATACATTCATTAAAGAGCAAAAGACGTGGGAATATTAGTTTCTTTGCATTTAAGCTAGATATGAGTAAAGTATATGACCGGGTGGAGTAAAGCATATGACCGGGTGGAGTTGACTTTCATTGAGGTTATTATGGCCAAAATAGGGTTCCATACAAGGATTTCGACTATTATGAATTCTGTTTGCTCTGTCTTCTATTCCATAATCGTCAATGGAAGCATCACTAATAGTTTTTGCCCAAGCAAAGGTCTTAGACAGGGTGATTCCTTGCCACCATATTTGTTTCTATTCTGTACAGAAGGACTATTTGACTTATCATCCAGAGGTCAAAGGAGTGGAGAAATCCAAGGCGTAAGGGTAAGCAGATCTGGTCCTGGGGTTACTCACATTTTCTTTGCTGACGACAATTTAATATTCGCTGGAGTGAATAAAAACAATGGCAAGAAGGTGAAGAACATGCTAAAAGTCTGTGAAGAAAGCTCGGGCCAGAAAGTTAATTTCGATAAATCAGCCCTTTTTTTCAGTAACAACACCACTAGAGGCCAGGGGGAAACACTTCAACGACTGTTTGGGATAAATGCAACCACAAATCGAGAAAAGTACTTAGGTCTGCCAACCTTGGTGGGAAGGGAAAAAAGAAAGCTTTTAGCAGCATTAAGGAGAAAGTGCAAACTCAATCCAAAATTAGAGTGGGCGATTTTTATCTTTGGCAAGAAAAGAAGTATTCATCAAAGCAGTTCTTCAACCTATTCTAGCTTACACGATGAATTGGTTTCTTCTACCAAAATCTATAGTTCAAGAACTAACTAGCATCATAAGTAGTTACTGGTAGAGAAACAAAACAGATGGTAAAGGTATACACTGGCTCAAATGGTCAACAATGTGCATGCCAAAAACTTTGGGTGGGATGGGCCTTTGCGAGCTGGAAAAACGCAATAAAGCTATGTTAGGGAAGCAAGGCTGAAAATTAGTCAATGATACTGGATCTTTATGCTACAAAGTCATGGAGAACAGATATTTTCCCCACAATAGTTTTTTGGAGTCAAACTTGTGTTACAAGCCATCTTTAACATGGAGGAGTATTTGGGAGGTGGAACAGGTGTTGGTTAGTGGAATAAGATGGCAAGTGGGTAATGGAAAAAGCATCCGAATATGGAAGGACAAATGGTTACCCGTAGAAGGAAATTTTGAACTTGTTTCAAGATCAAACAGCATTGCAGAGGATGCCTTAGTTAAGGCTCTGATCGATGAAGAGAATGGAAGGTGGAAAGAGAACTTGATATGCATGAAATTTAATCAAGCTAAAGCTGATGCAATCTGTGTGATTCCTCCGAGTAGAAGGGGAATGGCTGACAAATTTATTTGGCATTTTAACAAAGCTAGGGAGTACACAGTAAAAAACAGATACTGGGTGTAATCCGAGGTCGATATAGATGCAGGAAACCAATCCTTGGTGTGGAGGAAAATTTGGGTGGGGCATCAATAACACCTAAAGTAAAACTCTTTGCAAGGAGAACCTGTCATGAAATCCTGCCAACAACGGAGAAACTAGCAGCCAAAATCAACAACGTTAATCCATGCTGCCCAAGATGTGGAATAACAAATGAGTTTGTCACTATGTCTTGCATGTTTTAAAGGACTACAAAACCCCATCCAGATTACTGTCTGAGAGCAAACAATGTGAAACAGATGGTACAGATAACAAGTCAAAGTTGTAAAAAGTGGCTGGAAACTGCTGCAGGGATACCATCAAATACAGACTTTGAAATCTTTCTTATATTACTTTCGTCATTATGGGAATACAGAAACTCGAATGTGAAAAAGGGGCAATCACAACCGGAAAACACCATTGAACAGAAAGCCAGAATGCTGTTGACTGAATACAAAAGTAAATCTCTATAGAAAATAACCAAGGGAACACAATGGTGAGGAAATGGGAGGCACAACTAGGAACGCTCCACAAAGTCAATTTTGATGGTGCTCTAAACTTTCACAGCAAAAATAAGAGGTGTTGGAGCTCTCATACGAGATCACATGGGACAAGTTGCAGGTGCAGCAGCATTCAAAATGAACCTAGTATCAGATGCTTGTGTAACAGAAGCAATAGCAGCAGTAAAAGCATTGGAGTTTGCAGCACAAACGGGATGCATGAAGATTATGCTTGAAGGAGACTCTCAAATAGTTACAAACTGTTTGAAAAAAAAGGAAGAGGTACTATCCAACATAGTCCTGATTATTCATGATGGCAGGGGATGGGTAAGGAAGTTTGATACATGCTTGATAGAACACACAAAGAGAGAAGGAAATGAGGCAGCTTATTCACTTGCATAGCATAGTTTGTAGCTAGATAGCGACAGGTTTTGGGTAGAGGATTTTCCAGATTCTATAACTTCAGCTGTACTAATGGATATTGCAAGTTTAAATCAATGAAAGCGGATTTTATATTTAGAAGAAAAAAAAAACTACCAAATAAATATATAATAACTTTAAAAATCAAATATATAAGTTTAAAAGTATCAAAATAATGTCATAAATTTTTCATAATATTTTAAACATTTAATCTGATTTATAATATTTAAATAAATATTTTTATGCAAATATTAAGATAAAACAAAAAGCTGAAAAATTAATCTTGATTTCATGATTATTAAACTTTAGAAAGAAGTACAATTACTTTTTTGAAAAAGATTAAAATTTTTAGAAATTTTTATTTAAACAAATAAAACATAAAAAATACAAGTTGCAATAAAAAATTAGAGAAATTTAATTTTTAAGAGTTGTTTTGTCAATTAATTTTATTTTTATTAGATTAAAAATAATCAAATAACAAAAAATAAATTATAAAATATAAAATATGTTTACATTTACGTACTGATCAAAATAATTAATCCATTAAAATTCCACAAAATCAATTAAAATTAATAAAAATAATCAATATTATTTAGTATCAAATTTAATATAAAAATTATTTTTAAATATATTATATTTTAATATAACTTAAATGTATCGCTAATACGATGGTATCGGATCAAAATTAACAATTATGATCACTCCAAAAGTTTAGGGCTTTTGGGTACTCGATCCGCTTGCCTAGTTTCAGAGTCCAAGACAAAAGTCCAAACAAAAGCCCAACCCTTTAGTGCCCTAATAGAGAATTAGAAACCCTTTTCTCTATCTTCTTCACCAAAGCTGCTGCTACTATTTGAAGTCCTTGAGCGAGATGCCCTTATCACACCTTCTAGCCTAAGCGAAACGAGCCCCTCTCTTTTTTTTTTTTATATATATTTACTTGAATGTATGAGTTACATTTATCGATTTCTTTTTTGGCCATTGGTTAAGTTTTTCAATTTGTATATATAAAAGATATATTCTGTCTCCTTTTAATTTCAGAGAAAAAATTGAAAATTTGAAGAAGAAAAAGTCTAGTATGAAGAAGAAGAAGGGAAATAGAGAGAAGGCTAATGTCGTTGATGATGGCGAAGCCGTTCAAATGGGTAAGTGCCAATGAAAATTTCTTAAGATATACTGATATTTGTCTTTGAATAATATTTGGGCATGTAATAGACTCTGTAATTTAATTACAGTGGCAAATTTAATTACAACGAAAGAAGAAAAGAAAAAGGATAAATCAAGCAAGAAGAAAAGAAAAAGTCAGGAAAAAAATAATGCCTGTGTTGGAATTGATCAGCTTGGTGATGAGTATGAAGACCATCTTCAAAAACAAAATGGTGAGACTTGTTTTCTTTTCCAAATGGTGAGAGGAAGATCAAAGATTCCATACCAAAGTTGATATATACTGAAAGCGAGATTAAAAGTTGTAAATAAGTGATGGGTTTTGCTTGTTTTATTTAGAATTTCATCAGCTAAAGCTACTGTTAATTGCTCTTCGACGTTCTTTGCAGGCAAATATAAGAAAGATAGGAAAATGAAAAAGAAGGACCACAGCTCATCGAGGGAGAGTGAACAATTGGTGGAAATGAGTAAAGCTGTTGATGAGGATGAAGTATATGAAATACCTTCAGGGGATGAAGACTGCTCTAAAGGAATGAAAAGTATGAACGCTGGTGAATTTTCTTTAATATTTCCAGCTTTTGATTTTGTAGCTATAAACTTTTAGGGCACTACATTTTTCAGTCACGTTATGGTATATATATTCTGAATTTTGCCTTAACACCAATTAGTCTATAATAAATCTTTACTTCCAACTTCATCTAGGATATGCATGGCAATATAACAATTGTCAAACTTGTAGCTAAAAACAGATTTTGTTTTTTTTGAAAGAAGTCAACATACCTTTTCTTATCCGGGTTTTAATTTGATCATATAGTTTGTTATTGTCAGTTGATAGACAAGTTTTATCATTGTGGTTTTCTTATTGAGATGCTTCTTAAAGTGCAGAATGGCTTACCAAGTACCACCAAAGTAGGCCTGGGTTGAAAGTATTGCAACAAAGAATTGATGATTTTATAATCGCGCATGAGACAAAACTTGAACAGGTATTTTTCCTTGCTGATACCTCCATTGTTGAATCATAATTTAGGGCTTACGGTCAATAGATTTTCTTCTAGCAGTAGACAACTGGTTTGTGCATATGCCATGTTTTTTGAATTTATGCCTTTTCACATGGTTAGTTAGAAATATGTTGTCCTTTTGTCTTTTTCTTTTGTAATGGAATTGCAGTTGCAAATTACTTATTTCTCACTTATGTCATTATGGTGATATAGGAAAGAAAAGAAAAAGAAGCTCGCCTTACAGAAGGGGGATGGATACTTGTTGAACATCATAAAGGAAGAAAAAAAACCACAGACTCTGAAAGTGGAACTACAGTGGGCTCTGTTTCCCAGGCTGTTGTGGAGGAGAAATTAGCCAAGAAGAAGAGCAAAGAGCTCTTTGATTTTTACCGGTTTCAAAAAAGAGAAGCCCAGAAGAATGGTATGAATGATTTTGATAGATGGAGTTTATCCTCATTTTTTTTTCCTAGATGTCACTCTTGAGTTTATTTTGAACTTCTTTTAGGGGTTTGAGTTAAGTTGTGATTAATCTTGTTGTAGGGTCTTGATGTTAGGATTAGCTGCATTTCATTTCAGTATATATATTATTCTCTTTTTCTCTTTATAGTTAAAAAGTTGTATGGAGTATAGTTGGTCAATTCCCTGCATGCTAGGGAACTGGCATGAGGGTGTAGATGGGTTCTTGCAAGCACTAGTCAGTAGGCTCCTCTAACCACGCATGGGTGAGGAAGGAAAGTCACAAACCAATTCTTCAGCTTTGTTTCTGCAATATCCATCCATTAAACAAGTTAATGCATGCTCAAAATAATGTTTTGTTCGTTGCTTTGCTTTTGGCTATCCTTATGATGTAAGAATGTACTTGTTATATATGTTTGTTTATTAGCATATAAATTTGGGTCTCTTTTTTAAGTATAAATGCTGACATGAAGAATTTACATGATTTTTTTTTTCTTTCAGAACTTATGAAGCTGCAGAGCAAATTTGAGCAGGATAAAAAGAGGATCCAACAGTTGAGGGCTGCTAGGAAGTTTCGACCTTACTGAGTGCAACCAAACCCTTATAAAGAACCAAGAGGTGAACTTATCTATTAATGATTTCCTGATTGCTGCTTTTAAGAAGCTAAAGGCTGACTGTATGTCATTTGTAACCCATTTTGTGCAACTTTTGGTTTTATATATTGTGGAAAATCAGCGAGGATTTTAATGAGAATATGCACTTTTTCAATGAGTTCCAAAATATATAATTTTCATCTATTCTGTTTATTTTATATAAATTTGAATTCGTTAGCAACTCTGATTGTGCCAGTTTTTATGGAGGGCAAAACCACAGTTCTATTCATCGAAGCCCGCGGGTTGGCTTGGCCTAGTTATGGCTCTCTAGTATATTATGCACGTTTCCGGTTGATTATAGGTGTAGAATTTGTCCATTTTCGTTGTGCATGACCTTGTTGGGATAGTCATATCCTACACTGCTCTTCAATTTATTGGCAAACCAAAATGATTGTAATTGGATTGCTCATTTTTCATTTTGAATCACATTGAGTTAGGAAACTAAGAGATGGAAGGAAGATAAGTAGCATCGTCCCATTAGAAAATCATGTCATACGTGGGGAAGCATTTGTAGATATCAACAACTGCTGTCTCTGTTTATGTTGCTGCTTTTTATTTGAGGAACTAAATTCTGAAACATGGTAAACAATAAGTTGCATGGAGCATCATTTTGACGGGGAAAAATCTCTTTCACTTTATATTGTTAATACAATCACAAGGTTGTTGGGGCCAAACAAAGTTGGTCGTCAACTTCAAGCAAATAATCTGTATTTCTCCGTCATGAAGCAACTATCTTAGCATCTATACATCAATGTGCCACATTGCCAATGTCCATGGATTTATATATCTTGGGTGTAGCCTTTATGCTTCTATGCACTTGCAATTGTTTTCCTTTTAGGGAAAAAGAGATCAAATGAGAAAAGATTTCTTCTTAAATGGACAGCTCAATTGAGGTTGCTTTCATCTGCACCAGTACCGGACACAAGAAATCAAAAGGAAGTTAATTGAAATGAAATACATACATACATACATATATATATATATATATATATGAAAGCATGAGATTAATCATATTTTTTTTACTTTTTTTTTTATTCTTTAGATTTATTAAAATCAATAGTTAGCAGAAAAAATATAAAACTTTTTAATTTTACAATGACATATGTTAATCTCTTCTCGTGTGTATATATATAGAGAAAAAAAAATTGTATGAAATAATTATATCATGTTAATATATGTCCAATTCATTCAAATTATATCTCTTAATTACATTATTAAAAAAATTAACTATTTATTATAAAAAATTAATGAGATTATTGAAATTAATATTTACTATTTAATTATCACATGTTAGGAGAAATGAGCTTTTGGATTTAAGAGATCAAAATTTTTAAAGGTAGATTATGAAAGATGTGGATATAAGTAATAACAAATAATGAGGCTTAAGTAGATGAAAAGATTATTGTTGATAGAAATGAGGGGTGTAAAAAATTTTAAAATTACAATCTAACATGATTCTTTTTTTTTTAACCTTTTATATAGTCAACCTCAAAGTTCTATGATATAAAATTTAGTTTGTTATTGATATTTAATTATCATATGTGATGTGTAACAAATAGTTGATTTTTCTAACAATATGACTATGGTATGATTTGAATAGAACGGCATATATTGTTCTAGTGTAAATGTTTCATAGAATCCTTAATATTTATATTATCACAGAATACATGGATATCAAGTAAAATATACCATGTAGATGTTTACATAAATAACTTATATTTTTGACACATAGGATAATAATTTAATTTTAATCCTCTACCAAATAATCTTAATCAATTAATTATTTAATTTTTAAAAATGTTTAAAATTTTCAAAAATTAGACTTATTCAAAATTTTCATTTATTGTATCTTAATTTAGATTAGATAAATTTTATCTCAAAACTCACATTTTTCAAATATATATATATATATATATTTGAAAATTTAAAATAATCTTCTTGTATTAAATTCCTAAATATTAATAATTATCAAGAGCATTGTATATCTATCTTCAACTAAAGCTACTAAATCCATATTTCAAACATTTATGGTATTTTCAAAGAATACTCCAAAGTACTCTAATTCTATGATATCTTCTAAGTTACCATAAAAGTCATGTTCATAATCATTGTAATGACTTCTTTTAACACATACCCTATAATATTGTCTTTCAAGTTTGGTCATAATTAACTATATAAAACTTAAAACCATTCAAAAAGTAACCTTTAAAACACCTAATCAAGTGACCGTAGCCATAAGCTATCTCAGTTAGACAATGATCAATTTTGTTGTTTTGTTTTTCAACCTATCCAATCATAAAACATTAAAATTGATCATTGTTTAAATTTATATGAAAATATAATTCCTATTCATATATGGTATTATGCTCTAAACTTACAAATTGTCTTAATCATTGTGAAAATCTTGCATCTCATGCTTTCTCCAATTCCACATCACTTATATTCACAGATTTTTTTTTTCATTGATTCATCAAATATCCTATCATTGTCAATTAAGAATTAGAAAAAATTATCAATTTACTAGCAACATACATTGTAGAGTTAACATAGTATCAACATAAGGATTTATCTTTTTGCAATTCAATAAAACATATAAAGTGTGCCTTGAAATGCTCATCCATTGATTACAATAGAGACTTGTCTTGTAGACCCAATGCTCAACTAGGATAAGTTAAAATTGAAAAACATCCTTTAGATTCCATGACTTCTCTATCATCATTACATGGCTCGATTCAATCTTGTTAACATATTTGAATCAAAACAGAGTGAAGAAAACGAAGATATCTCATTGATAACATATGCTTTACATATAAATGCTTCAATAGATACTCAATTGGTTCATTTTTTCTTGAAATGATGAAAAAATCTAGTCATCATCATAGCACAACATAAACGTTATTGAAGGAAAATTAAATTAATCAATGTTAATGCCTAACAACTAAATTATATTACCTTTTAAACATATACATCCATCGATAATGAACAAGTCCAATTTTTGCCTCAGTAGGCAAGTGAATTGACAAATACTTCATAGAATCAAAGAAACCTAAAGGAAAAATCTTTTTTAATTTGTAAATTGTTTTTATAATTTTTTTTCAACACTTCCGTATGATCTACATGTATTTTAATGGAACATAGATCTCTAAAAAAATGAGATAGCTCAGTAATAACATTTCAAATAAAGTTAGGCACCAAAATAACAAAGGTAATTGGGAGCAATCGTTGCATGAAATTATAATTATCCCATAAAACTTGCAATCAACCATGCTTACACACCGAGCTATGTTAGAAGCAAAACCATCAGGAAGTCATTATGTCACAATCATCCTAAGTTTGTGCATATGTATAATTTAATCAAACAAGTACAAAAACTTAATCACATCAAGTATATCAAGCATATACAATTTATATCAAACATTATGTACATAGTCAAGCATATGCTCTTAAAATATGTCAAGAAAAATATACAATCAAGTTTAGCAAGCATAAATAATCAAAATCATCAATCCTTCAAAAATAATGGTAATGCTTACACTTATACTCTCCATAAAATGAAATATAACTATATCTTAAACAAATAAGCATCAAAATCAATTTCAACAACAATGAGGATATATTTATATCACAATCATGCACTCAAGAGAACAAACAAATGCATACTCAATTTAACCTCATATTTTCTTAAGATTATGTAATTGATAAGATGTATATCTATAGAATATAATTAGCATAATCAATGTGACGCATATATAAATAATAAGAAATTAAACCCTAAATATTTAACAAGAATAGGAAACCAAATTACACACTCACTTCAAATAAATATTTGGCTTAAAGGTTACCCTTTTTTTATTATATGTCTAGAGTTCTAATTTTTAAAAAAACATATTATAGCTCCTTACTCTAACATACATATAGGAGACATTACTAATTTGATTTTTGGAATCCAAATTGCTATAGGTCTTTAAAAGTTAGTCATTAAGTCTCTTGTTCCTTTAAAAACCCACACTTACCTAATTCTAAATGGGACTTTCCTTCTAATAGGACAAATGGGTTTAGAATACCCATGAAATTTACAATAATTGCATTTGGTCATTTTAGCATGTGAGGAATTACTTAAAACCTTTTGTTTTTCATATATCAAATGTATTCCTCTTTTAGGACACATCAAAATTCTTTTTCAATTTTTTATTTTGATTTTCCAAATAAATTTTTTTATTCATAAAAAATTCATATTCAATATTTAATTTTGAAACCATTTTTCTTTGGTCTCAATCTTAATGATTCAAATTCACAAATAACTTATAAAAAAAATCTTATAATTCATCAAATGTATATTCACAATTTTGAGATTAATTTTGGAAATATGTTACCTCCAAATCTTCGAGAACTATGAAACATGGTTTATTTTGGTTTAAGAATTGGCTTTTGCATGACCTTTTTTCAACTTCCTCCTTCATTGTTGTTTCTCCATACATGTTTTTAAGTTTATCCCACATCTTTTTGGCATTTGAGCATTTTTCAATCAATTTGAAATCATTAAAGTCAAATGCATTGTAAAGCAGATTCATTGTAATTACATTGACTTGCATGAGCTTCATGCGATTCTCATCCCATTCTTTTGTTGGGAAATACCACAATACCATGCGCAGCAACCACACACAAAATAGCAAGCTCAAATCAAGAATAAGAACACACAAATATATTTGGTTTGGCCAAACTCAAAAATGGCCTACTCCAAACATAATCCATTATCAAATAAATCTTTACAATTGTGAGACTTTTAGAATGAGAAAAGTCTCCTAAAACTCCTTACTCAAAACTTAACCAAAACCCAATTACACCCTTTAATAGCCTACTCACTTAGCTATTCTCTTGGTGTCTAACTCTTTGGGGTTACTAAACTAAAAACCAAAACATCTTATTTATAAGGGTGAAACCCTTTATACCTTTACTAAACTCCCGATGTGGGATACAAGACAAATTCAAACTTACTTAACTTTCGAAGTGGGATTCTGAGATTCCAGGCAAATCCCAACATCTTTATCATTTAATGGAACATTAAAACCTTTACTGATAATTTCCTTTAGTTCCAAGCCATAATGAAGACTTTCATTCTTTGCCTCCATTGCATATAGCTTAAACTATTGAACACAAAAGGATTCATGATGGATTGTCTTTCACTAAGAGTTGTATCAAAAACTTAAGCCATAAGATTACTCTTGGGTTGTTAAACCTACAAAACATAGAGTTCATACTCTAATACCAATTGTTAACTCAAGTGTAGATAACAATACAAAAGGAAAGTGAATTAGACTGCCTCCAAATTCTTTACCAAAATTAAATTTCAATTAAATTAAATGAAAAATTAAAATCAATATAACCTTTAATGAAAATTTGAGGAAATAAACAACAATAAAAATAAAATAAGTAGAGATAAAGAAATCAGCAGTTCGATCTTTCTCTAAAGACACCTACATCCTTTCCCTTAACTATCTTAGCCAAGCACAATCCAAAAACTACAGCTTTAATAGAAATAACACCTTATAACAACATTTGAGTCATGGATTTCTTATTGATTTCAACAATCTAAAAGAGGGGAATTATCGATGTTCCTAATGAGATTCTGCCACTTAAATGATGTTCTTAACAAGAATAAAAAACTTTTAAAAACTTTTGAATATATGAATTTGCAAACTTTTAAAAGTTTTCATATTTGTATATTGCAAATCCAAAAAAAGAAAAAAAGATGTGGAGAGCAAAAAAGGTGAAGCGTATAGAAGCTCTTTTGAAAATACCTTTCCACCTCTTATTAGTTTGAAAATTAGGTTTATACTTAATGCATTATCAATGTATAATGTTATACATATCAATGTAGACATCGAATTTTATCCGAGCATATTCTAGTCA